GGCGGGGGTGGGGGGTGGGGGGGGAGGCGAGGCCGGGAGGGGGGAAATGATGAGAGGCAGCAATTCGGCGGCAGGTCCTCCCTCTCTTCCTCTTGGGTGGCAACTCAGAGGAAGAGAGGGAATGCGGGACCCGCTGCCAAATTCCCGCCGAAGACCCCGATGTGCCGCCCTGATACTGGACGGAGTGCCGTCCCTTTGAATTGGCCGCCCCAAGCACCAGCTTCCTACGCCCTGTCTGTCTGCAGGATCAGGACTTTGTAATTTATTTCTTTGATGGCACATAGGGTGACTTCAAACGCCGAGTATTCTAAGAGTTGGTCACTCAAGTTTGGTCAGAATCTCTGAATTATAAAATTAAACAGGCTTCAGATTAGATCTCAAGACAATTTACCTTCATTTGCTGCCTTTTTTGCTTCAGTACTGACCAGCAGCTTGAAGCCACAGCCTAAATGTAAGAAGAAATTATTTAAGTAACTTTTACACAAGAAAACTGACTATTTAAAAAAGCAGCGGACTATAGGATCTTGCATTTGATGACCAGTTATTTCCTTAATTTTAATGCTTTGATAGCGTAAGTTCAAACATAAAATGTCATCTGTTGTGAATAGCTCATTTTACTATCAGTTCATATTTCTTATATTTAAATTTAAAAAAATGAAATTGTGTATTCTTTCCCAGAAATTCTGTCCCATTTTGCATTAGTGCCAAATTGTTTTGAATTACTAAGCCTAACTTTTTTTTCACAATTTAACATTAGCAACACTTACATTCAACCTCGCTGACACACAGTATGTTGTGTGCCAAAATGTGTGTTCCAAACCCATAACTATCTCAGATTTTTAAAAGGAAGCATATGAATACATGGTAATGGCCTTTTTCACTTTAAGAAAGAATCCTTGAAATAGTTTTGCATACAGCTGTGGAGTTTTGTCCAAATAAGGATCTGAGTCAATACAACATATTGATGGCAAATCTAGGCTCCCCTCCCCCCACAGCACATAACATTCAGATGGAATGTGATGCTACTTCAATACCATAAGGAAACTTGCTACTCACAAAACACAACTTTACCACATATGCTACAAAAAATATGTGCCTTACCTTTTTTCTGTAGAAGAAATATTTCAATTGAAGGATAAAAAATAAAAAAGGAAAACCAGCAGTTTATAGTTCTAAATAGATGCAATGACAGCAACATCTCTCACCTATGAACAATTGGTCACACCACAATCCCTTCCTTCAAACATGCATGGATAAGCTCAGTTATTAGGAACATTTTCTAGCAAGCAAAACAGGCTGATGCACTTATGAAAAAACCTAAAATACGTTTCTGAAAATGTTCTGAATGTTTGAGTCTTTGTATATTTTACAATGCCTGCTACTTTTCCATACCCGACCAGTACAATTCTAGGATATGAACTAATACATTTCCCCCATAAATCAGTATGTCTTATTTCAAATGTGACTAACACATACACCAGCCCTGCAAAATTCTACTCATCCAGGGCAAATAGTTATTTTTGCCAAGTGAGTACAACATTTTTTTCCATTATAATCAATCGTCATGGCAAAGGGCTGGCAAGTAAGTCCGGTAAATTTTAAATTAAGATTTTACAAGGCTGACACAGCGTAGTAGTTTTTGCTCAGGCATATTTTAGGATTCAGCTATGGTTGGAAATGGAATTACCTCTGACATAGAGAGAAAGGTCTCCCCAGATCAGAGTTAAAGCTACCCATTGTGGTTACTTGCATTGTTCGTAGCCCATGGATAAAAAGGATGAGTTTAGCTGCTACAGATGCTGGTATTTTAATCTTTAAGAGTAAGATAGGTATCTATTCCCAATAGTATACTCATTTAAAAGTTTTAGAAAGGAATGTTGAAACTAATGTAATTTTATCACGTCTTCTATTGGTTGCAATAATCCATAAGAATCATAGTATAAGAAATTTTAAAAACTACTTACAGTTTCTTTAAAAGAGGAATTTAGCCAGCGGTTGTTTACTACGTTCTGTATAGATGTGGGTGGATTCTCTAAATCTTCAAAGGAATCCATTAATATAAAGTCCAGAACAATGTCGTAAAAATTTAGATTTTTCACCTGCATTCAGTTAGAATAAGATCAAAATAACTTAACTTCTCTTTCAATACTGGAACAGAGCATAAGCCAGTATTCCATACTCTACATATATCAGGCAGATTTATCATCTTAAGTTATTTAGGTAACATTAAAAAGCATTTCACTAATGGAAAAAAACCTGACATTGCAACTCAGCGGTACAGAGGTTTTAAAAAAAGAAGTGGAAGCATATTTCTCTAAATCATCTAAAGTATAAAAAAGCAGCTGGATTTCTAATATTTATGAATTAATAAATATCAATTTTGAGGGGGAAACAGGTTGTGTAATCAAGTTTAATGAGGAAAAAAGCACTACAGAAATCCAAACTTACCCCCCTGGCAGCAAGTTCCATTTCAGTATTATCCCAGTGGTCTGTTTGCTCTAAAAAATGTATCATTTCATCAAAGACCTCTTCAAATTTCTTTGGATTCTGTGAAATAAAACCAGTTAAGTGTCATATTTCCTAGTAGGATGACTTGTTTTAGTTCTAAATTCTTAAAAGGCAAGTTTTTTTTTTTTTTAATAATATGCCCAAAGAATTATCATGGTTAACTCCAGGACCAGACAAATTAACTTTGATCTCTGGTTACAATGAATACACTAAAGGAACAACAAAAAAGGAATTTACCTTTCGAGCTCTCACAATTAAAGCAGACAAAATTTTTCTTCCACTCTCAGCAAGAAATATTCTGTTAGCTGTTTCTGAAAGAATTACCTGGAAAAATTTCCAGGCAATACAGACCTATAAGTACATAATTTATTTATAAAGAGAATTGCACTAAATGAGGCTATTAGATTCTTTAGTCAAATCAAACTAAGAGATGCTTGATATTAATACAGTATGCAAGTACAATACTTCTAACCCATCCAAAAAGATGGGTCTCCCATCCAGTGATGCACATCATTATCAAAGAGGCCATTCATTTTGTCTTAACATACTGGCCCAGATTCAGAAAGGTACTTAAGCATGTCCTTTAAATTGAAGTATCAGAGGGGTAGCCGTGTTAGTCTGGATCTGTAAAAAGCGACAAAGAGTCCTGTGGCACCTTGTAGACTAAGACGTATTGAAGCATAAGCTTATGCTCCAATACGTCTGTTAGTCTTTCAATTGAAGACACCTGAATACAACAACGTTCTGAAGTAGATAAAATGTTACTCAAAATGCTTTAAAAGTAATGAAAAAGCCCCCCGCCCCCAAAACCGCTCCTTCAGTGATCTGAATATTAAAAAATAATATGCTACTCTCATAAACAGCATTCAGTAATTACAATATATAACTATTACACTAAAAATAGGTCACTGCAGAAGTAGGGCGAGACAAAAACTCTTAGCTTTGACCTAACTCTGCTCCATTTAAGTTATACATATCGTAGAAGAAAGAGAATGTGTGTGTGCGTGCACCACATTAATAACTAAGTATTTACCTGAAAAGCCTGTCGAATACAGTGAAGCTTAGCAAGAAAGTCACTGTCCCCCAAACACTCCAACATTTCAGTCCTACATAAAATAGAAAAAAGTTGTAAACTATATTTAAAAAACAGAAGCACAGTACAATTTGACTAGGATTTATTTAGAAATAGCATCCATTATTCTGAGATTAGGGAATTAAATGCAGTATTATGTAGAGTATTTATCTTTACTCCTTGGCTTTCCTTGGAAGTTAATTAGTAAATACAAATCAATACCTTAATATTCTGGAATAAATTTTGCCCTCTTCTGCTAAGTGCATAGCTTCTTCATATAATGGACAATGGCAAAGAGACTCTAGACCATAGGTATTTCGGATCTCTCTGTGTTCAGTAAGCTGAAAGATATTTTTTGTTAAAGCTTATTAACTAACTTGCTAAAATGATTTTAAAAGTAAAATAAATTAATTCAAAGTCTGCTTGATATTCTGATGAAAGGAATATTCTTTTCTATGTTGGTTAACTACATCTATAACTGGTCAACATTCAATACTAAAAACAAAAACAACATTCTAGAACATTGTGGATTTTAATATGAAAGCTATGGTTTCAGATTTGAGCTTCCGAAGAGTTAAATTGTAGAACAGGTTCAGATTAGTTTGTTTTGAATTTGAATACTTAAACCCATAGGGTTTGTTGAAAGGAAATGTCTCTCTGCTGTTCACGAAGAATAAATTGATGATGAGGCACTGAAAGGGGCAGGAGGATCACATCATAAAGAAAGCTGGGAATGGTTATAAAAAAAATCACTGTCATTTTCCTAGTAAACATGGCTCTTAATTACTAAAACACATTTCCTATGATTAAGACATTAAAATCCCGTGTTTTACTTTGGGTGCCAAAAAAGTCTCTTCTCGGTCTATGATTTTTAATATTTGAGTTTAAACCTTTGGCTGACATTACTACAGAAATGCATAATTACCCATCCCACAAAATGTTATTAAGTAAAATAATATTTAAACCATTCAAAAAACATTAATGTAGAGCATCCTATGTTAGGAATATCATAATTTTTCACTCTGCATAGCAGTGGCTGGTAGGTTAAACAGTTACCATTTCATTAGAAACATTACATCATTCTTATTATCTATCCAAAAACTGCAGAGGCAAACATTTTTCCATTTACTAAATGGCTAGAACACACATTTTAAAAATTTCAAAAAAAATTACTTTACAATATTACTGCAGATTGCCTGAAAAGACATTTTGCACTTCTAGGCATCAAAACCATAATTTAGAAATGTCTTAAATAAAACTAACTTTTACAAAAATTAAAATATACTCTATCTGGGTTTTTAACATATTTATGTCCCTGTCTTCTAGATATGTTCAAAGTTAGACAAACAGCTGTTACTATGTTTCCTTCAAATACAGTCTTTCCTTAATGTTAAGTTTTAAGATGATGTTGTTACATTTATCTTCAAGTTAAGAAAAAAAAATATGGGCACATTTTTCCATCATTGGAAATACATCTCTGTAAGTGGTGGCAGGAGAAGTTCTACATGCATATTGATGAGAAAAATATACTCCTGGGTGGGCCTTTTCTGTGGTCCCTATTGGAGGAAACCCCAGTGACTACAATGGGAGTTAGCCCAAGTAAGGATTATGGCCTTGATTCAGGAAAGCACTTAAGCATGTGTTTAAATTCCACTGATTTCAATGGGACTTAGTGTGTGTAAGTATTGTCCTGAAGAGAGATGCTTTCCTTAACTGGGTTCTAAAGCAGGACATGGTACTTAAGAGAATAAGTGAACAATAAAAACTTTAAAAAAATTGGTAAGGTAATATACTTAGAGCAATTTACAAGCAATTAAACTAGCATGAAAATTAACAGTTCTGTCTTAAGAGTTTTAAATCTTTGTCCTGTCTTGTTTATTTGCTGGTTCAGCAGAATGGACTAGGATAAACTGACTTCCTGAAATAGATCTGCAGCTGTGACAACATATCAGATTAAAGTTTTGATACTAGTTAACAATAGCATCATATTCATAGTAACAAAATAGCCTAAAGAATGTTTAGAGAATTTACAGTGTTACTCTCTAAAGTTGCTTTATCTTATTTAATCAAGAAAGCAACAAGTTCTTTTATGTGAAGATTGTCAAATGTGTACTTGAGAAGTTGTAAGTAATATTTTAGCTGATTAGCAGTGGTAGGAATAAACAGATTTTTTAGTATTTTTCATATTTGAAATATAAACATACTCGTTATACAAGTTTTTCCGCTAGTTTCAGAATAAGAAAAAAAACCTTACTCCAGGTAGAATCAGTTTTCCAGTGTTACAGTCCAACAGTGTTTATAGAAAGGTATTTTTCAAACTTTAATGTAAATATTTTCAAAAAGAAAAAGCATATAATAGGACACAATGAATCATACTAATGTTAAAAGGTCCAATCCAATGCCTACTAAAGTCAACAGACTCCCCTATGCTTTATTTCACCCACAAAGCATGAGAAAGAATACAGGTAACATGAGGCCTGATCAGACTTCCATGGGATTTGTATCAGGCCCCATGTTACCTGTAGTTGTTAACTCCTTATACTTTGCAGATGAAATAAAATAGCAACACACACTACAACAGCTGAACCCTATGAGAAAGCAACTGCTTTCTTGACATATTCCAGTCAAGTCAACACATGTAGACAAAGGAGATAATTTATAAGTTAGTTATTACAGCTATAGAGTATTTCTATTTTACTTAATTGTCTGTAAGGGAGAGTTAAAGACCTGAAATGCCCTAGACAGGGTACCAACAGTGTTTTCACTTTTCCGGATATGAAAAATAAAAGTCATAGCGCTTTCATAACAAAGAAAATATTAAATTATTTTAAAAGGTTCCTAACAGTGAAACTGTAATAATATTAATCTAAATTAATAAAGTAAAAAATATCCAAGTCAAAATCAAAAGGAGGCAAATCTATTAGTAAGTATAAATAAGGTTTGTGACAATTATTTAATCTATAAAATTTAGATGCAAGTGTACTGATGAACATACAGTTCTTTCATAAAATTAGAGGACAATAAAAAGAGGTGTTTTACCTCTATTGTGGCTCGGTTTTTAGCAGCAGGATTTCAGGAATCAGAGAACTTAAAAAAAAAAAAAGTAATAAATTTTAAGTCCAAAGCTATCAATGCATTCCAGCAGCTTCAGAAATGGGGGGCTTTGTCTGGAAAGGCAAGGGAAAGAGTGTTGTCTAGCTTTTTGAAGAGTCACCCTACACCGTTCTAACGGGTGGATCAGCTGCCTCATGGATTTGGGAGATGACTGGCTTGTCTAGGGGGTGCAGTGGAAGCCCATATGGTCCTATACACCCCCCCCCCCAAAAAAGACACATAAAAGCCTTCTTCCCCTGGTTGGGGCTCCATCTCATGACCTGAAAAACAGCTCCCACTCTGAGGTTAGGACCAGGATTTTTGGGGTCTGGTGTGGGTATTGTGCTACTTGCCTTTTTTTGGGACTGACAAGGACTTTCCCCCTCATTGCCAGACTGGGCAGGGTTATTTTTGCCTTTCCCATAGCAGCCCAGGAACCTAGTGGGCTGGTTAGAAGGCAAGGGTGAAGTTCAAGTTGTTGCAACTTGACAGGTGTCCAGTGCAGATACTTGTTCGACGGGGGGTCTGCTAAACTGGAATCTGAAGTGGAGTTAGAAGCAGCAGCTGGCGAACAGGGCTGGGGTTCCTACTGTATGGCACAGGGAAGAGACAACTCTTTTTCCCCCGGCCCCTCAAGGACAGATGCATCCCAGCAATGGGTTAGGACCAGATGTGGAGAGGTGAGGGGAAAAGGGGACGGACAGCAGTCCTCCACCAGGTGGAACAGATTATGGAGGAAAGGATGATCTGCATTGGGCAATATATTGCTGGATAGCTCCCAGATGAGTTAAATTAATAAAGTTGCAGCCTAGTTAAACCACATCCCTGTGTGCCTTGTTTGTCCCAGAAAGAAAATGCTCTTGGAAGCCAAATAGAACCAAAGGGTCTATTCATGACCCTGCTCTGGTAACAAAAAGGTCTGTAACTTCCTGCCCCCCTCGAGAATTCCTGTCAGAACAGAGCAGGCTCTCTCACAGGAAGGGAGCCAGAGAAGGGAGTATGGCCCGGGGACTGCTGGCTATTCTCAGCTACCAAAATGGCTCCTTGGTGGCCACTCTAGCCAACCATAGCCCCTACTTGAGACTGAATTGTTCCCAAGCAACCGCTAAAACTTGAGGAGCGCACAGATATTTTTAAAAGTCTAAGTAGCACTGTAACATAGCTGAGGATCTGGGTCAGAGTGCCTGTGGCTCCAGAACTCACCTTCTACACAGCCTTCAGGCCCAGCCCCATTCCTAATGAGTGTCCCCCCACCTCCGGAACTTTTATTTCTAATTGAGTCTAGAATTTATGGATGTGATCTCACTCAGATTGCATGGAATAAATTAAATGGTACTTTCTTCAAATACCTTCCAGTTGTAGATTTCAAGAAAGTCTTTTAAAGCATAAAGAAGAGCAGGACCCTCCCAAATAATGTATTCTGTTTCTATAATCAACACAGTGTAAACAGGAATCAGGTTACTGGGTCTAAAAGCAAGAAACAAAATTTGTAGTTAAATTTCTTTAGCTGTATCTACCACTCAAACTAAGTGTCAATCCACCAGCAATTAACTAGGACAGTTGTACCCTTTTAATTTTCCTGTCGTGACATCTGCGTGCAAAAGCTGCTTCACTGGAAGTTAATGTCTCTGAGAAATAATGTCTGGCAAAGGAATGCAAGCAGGATCAGGCAGTTGGCTTGAAAATTTCTTCTATGTCTGACTGACTTCTCTTAGCTTACAAAGATATCTGAGCCAGAGGGGAATGTGCTCTAACTTTAACTTGAAAAAGGTGCCTGTACCAATGAATAATCTTTGAAAATACATCTGTAACAATATCATCTCATCTGCCCATTTCTTCTTTCCCCTTCTCACCATAACACAATTTAAAAGTTCCTAATGTCTAGGAATGGTCAGTCAAATTCTTTCTCAGAAACAAGGTAAGGGCAAAAGTTTCCCAATATAATTTCCTGGTCCAAATAAAACCTTGAGGGGCTTCAAAAGGAACAATAAACTTGACTAGTAATTTGAAAGGGGGAATTTGCCACAATTCCATCACAAAACCACTCTCTGAATCCAAAAGGTGAGAAACACTGAAGCTCTAACATGTAACCTTCACATCCCCATTTTTAACACAGTGGAGATAAGTCTTGCCACAAAGGGTCAGATACTATAGTGTTGAAACTCAGACAGAATTAACAACATATAGAGCATGGAATGTTTCTTAAAGAGAACCTCTCATGCTAGCACCAAAGGGAGCACTAACTCCATAATTTGTAAGTCCCTGAGGCACACTACCTCCAAGGTTTTAAAAGACGTATTCATAGCTTTGCCAAAAATTCCTAATAAAGTACTGTCTGACTCTTACAAACCACTAACAAGAGAATGTTCAGGATGATTAGTAAATCATTCAGGATGATTAGTAAAATTAACTAAAATCAAAGAACAAGATGAAAGAACAGTTTGTCTTGCAAAGAAATGGAACAAGAGGGAAGATGTACAACAGCGACAGACAATAATGGATAAGTAGACTCCATACCCCAGAGCAGAATGTAGAAACTTGTGGTTCATTCCAACCCCATGAAGAATACAACCTACTCCTCGGTGATCACAATTCTCTACCAATAGCTGAAATACACTAAGTAATAATGGTTAATTCTCCTATATGGACAACAGACTGCCTCACCGTTTTTTTTTAAGTGTTTCTCCTCCCAGAGACAGGACAAGCTTCTACTGGAAGCAAGTGCAGGTTCACCCATCAGAAAAGATGGCTGCCTTGTTGCCTAGTTTGGAAATATATCCTTTTTTAAAAAGTCCGTGCGTGCGTGTGAATTAGATAACCCACATTAACACTGTTTAATTCTTCACCCCTCTCTTATGACTAGACCACATGAAGATACTTGAGTATGATACTGCCAATAAGTTAACAAACCAGATCCTTTAGCTCAAGCTGTGGTGGCTCACACTTTTAGATCCAGAAGTCTCGAGTTCAAACCCCACATGTAACCAGGCCAGGGGCATCACATCAAATAGGATTGGTTTCCCAAAACCGGGTTGCCTGAAAGGTGAACTATTAAATCTCTGAATTTTTTTTTTAAATTGTAAAGTGAGGCTTTTAAGATGTATAAAAGACAATTCCAACCCCCCCCCACCAGTTGTGTCAGATGTCTCCAAAATAGTAACACCTCCAAAAACACTAGTAACTTCAGCTTACAGAGTTACCTCTGGTTTGCTCTAGACAACTTTGGGGACGATGAAAACTTGGACAACTGTGGCTGAAGTAAAGATGGAACATCCTCTTCCCCCATGGTTAGGGACTGGGAATACTGCAGCTCAGGTTTCAACCTACAGCTATGATGTTCTAGACCCTCTAAAGACCATCAAAATCCTCTTGCAGGTTGAGGTGTAGAGGAGGCAAGTTCGGATATTTCAAATGTAATGCTGAAAACACTGTTTATACACTTTGTAGTCACTTTTAAACATCAAAGGCCTTCAGCACCATATTCATATGAAGATGTTTCTCATTTACCAGGCTTCAAATGTGTTTCCACAGCAAGGAGGCTCATAAATGGTAACCAGACACCATTTGACTCATGGTGGGTAGTCCTTTATTGATTTTTTGTTTTTAGTATGCATTCCTTATTTGTGGGACTACTCAACCTGGATTGAACTAGAACTAGGCCCTGAAGGTGATCATTCCCACAGAAACAACTGTGGGGAAATAAAATATATCCCAATACACTTCTGAATGATAAATCTGTAGTTTCCTATGAACTTCTGAAGATCAAGGAAGCTGCAAAGGACTTCCTCTTACAACAGAAATTTCATTCCTAGTGAAGTAACAAGTAGGATCCCCAAATGAATGTCACTGGGAGGGGTCACGATGTTTAAGGTATGATTGCTATGTGGCCATGACAACTGAACAGGAAGAGAGCATCTTACACCATTTTCTGTGCTTTTGGGAGGAAGGGAATCAGAACTGGTACTAAGGGTATGTCTGCACTGCAGTCAGGAGGTGTGACTGTAGCACAGGTAGGCATACCTGATCTAGCTTACTAAAAACAGCAGTGAAGCCACAGTAACACAGGCAGTGGCACAGATCACTCTCTCAAATACAAGCCTGCATGGCACCCTGGATACATATTCAAGTGGCAAGCGCATGCCACTGAATCTTCACTGCTATTTTTAATGAACTAGCTTGTTCGGCGCTAGCTTGTGTATATACCTACTGTGCTACCATCTCACCTCCTGACTGAAGTGCAGATATACCTTTAGTGGCTTTAGAATATCAAGATGGTGAGACCACCTTGACGATTTAGAAAGGCCCAACAGGCCAGGGCTATTATTCTTGCCAGTTATAACCGTGTTTCTTAAGGAGACAGTCACTTTAGGCTCTGGATAGGAAGAATCTCCCCCACAAAACATATCAATCTCTCTTACTGAAAGACTGTGTCCCCTGCCTGTTACCAAGCAGACACAAGATAACAGACTGCATTCTCTCTGCATATCTGCTTAAATAGTAGGAAAGCTCATGTAAAAAATGGGAAATGACAGGCTCTCTCATTTTTTCTGTATCCTCTTGAATTGACAGCACTCACTCATCTGAAGGGACCTTGGATAGTCTTCTTCTCCAAATTACAGGAAAGGGCAACTAGTCACAGGAGATATATTCCTTGTTAGAAATTACTTTTCGTCATAGACTGCAAGTTACTTTGAGCTTTCAAACTCAGGGAATTTTGGACGGTTACATATGATCAAGAGTTTAATTGCAATCCATTTCAGATAATTCACTTCACAAGGGAAGCATCTTCCCCAAAAATCTTTAGATTATGGGTAGGTGGCAGGGGGAAAATAATACAGTTATTTAGATGGTTGGTACCATCCCATATAATTTTGCTTCCTCAGTAATCAGAACCATTATAGGTGTTCATAGATATCCAGCTCTGATACCCAGAAGGATGGTCGTTTACACTCGTTAGCAATTCATTTTTAGAAGGATGGATAACTCATGGAATGTGCCAACCAGGTGACCAAAAAAAGCACTAAAATGACAGTTTTGAAAGCAAAACAAAGAGGACAGGAATTAGTGTGATTGTGACTCCATTGGTCCAAAGGTAAAAAAAAAAAAAAAGTACTAGGAAGTTGTCTGCAAAGGGAGGCTTTTTTCATGTAAGATGCAATTTATTTCCCCCACAAAAATTAGTAGCTTTTAATTTACAGTAAGAAATGAAAAACATTAGTAATCTATTTATTTTTCATGAAAGAAAGATTCTAGTATGGTTAAAGAAGAAATCCTTCCGACTCTTACCTCAGCTGCTGAAACAAAGGAGTCTGTTGATGCAATGCTCAGTGTATCTCGCAGACAGAAATCTTGTGTGTTATCCTTCACAGTTATATCGGTATCTTTATCTTAAAAATGAAAATAAATCAATTTACCAGTTTGTCATTTTCTTTGACAGTCTATTGATTTAGTTACAAGTCTTGAACTTAAATGGCATTTTTTAAGAAGGCCTTCCTTTTAACTTTGTAACAATAAGATGTCATACATCTTATATGTAAAATTTGTTTAAGCAAATTTTGATATAATGAATGCATTGAAAACTTTGCAGTTTTAGTATCACATTTATTTTGTTGAGGTACCTAGAAAGCTACAGCATACAGCTGGAAGAGTAAAAAGTTACCAAACCAAACCCTTACTCTTCTCCCCAACACACACAATATTTGGGTTTTTCTTTTTTCCAGTTTTTATTCGCAGGGTGGCTTTATACACACCAGCTTCTTTTGCCATATATGAGACTTCCAATGGAAAAAAACAGCAAGAAAGAGCCAAAGATGCTTTATGGGTTTTGTCCTCTCAGGCTCTTTTTCTCTCCTCAAACATCTACTACTTCACTAAACTAATTTAAATAATCAACTAAGACTTTAAACCTTACAAAATGTCAAATAACTTTTTTTTTATAATCAGCACATGTTATGCGTGGTATAGGTTTTTTTAAAAAGTACGTTAATTCAGATTTTTATTTCCATTCATTTTTGTAATACTTTAAATATATATATCCTTCACAATTTTTTTTTATAACATGACCAATATTCAGTGTGATCTCAGTTGTACTGATCATTTTAAAAAGGAAGAAAGAAAAAGAAAACTATAATTCTAGTTAAACCAGTTGGCGGGGGGGAGGGGGGTGTTGGTTGGTTTTGTTTTTTAAATTATCCCAATTCTGTAGTTTTTCCATTTCACTCAGCTTGGACAGTAACCAGAGTAAAATCAGTTTATTTTCTGGTTCTCATTCTCTTAAAAGGGAACTGCAAGGGAAAATTTAAACCTTCACCCACCTCTCCTATCTCCCCCAACCTTCTTCAGTGAAATAAAGATATCCCATCTCCTAGAACTGGAAGGGACCTTGAAAGGTCATCGAGTCCAGCCCCCTGCCTTCACTAGCAGGACCAAGTACTGATTTTTGCCCCAGATCCCCAAGTGGCCCCCTCCAGGATTGAACTCACAACCCTGGGTTTAGCAGGCCAATGCTCAAACCACTGAGCTATCCCTCCCTCCCACATCCAGAAAAATTTCTAGCAGCATTATGATTTTTAAAACCTTCAACAAAGCCTATATTTTCCACTAACATCACATTCTATTAATCTGCAATACAAATCCTTTCAATTTGCATTTAACTTTTTTCAGATTTCAGCAATTGCTGCACACACTGCCAGCGTATATGGTTTTGTTTTCATCATGCAGAAGCACTTTCACAGAAGGATTAGATTCATAAGTCATTAAGTCAAATCTTGGCTTGATGTACTTCATACTGCATTCTCAACAGAGCACAGGCATTTATCTTGGATTACTTTACCTTCAAACATTACACATGTGTTGCTAAAAAGTCTGTTTTATTTCCAGCAGTCAGCAACAACCAGCTACCCTTAGTTACTATGGTTATACTTTATAAAAAACACTATTATACAGCAAAGTGGCTGCATGCCAGTTTTACTGGAATGGTTTACTCATCAGTTGAAATGCTACAATCCACATGATCATTTCAGTAATTGTTATATATTTAGAACGGCAGCTCAACAATTATGCACTAGATATCAATAAATTAACAATATCAAACTAAATATCTGTCTTTGAGAAGACCCAAGGAAAATATATATATTAAAAGTCTGGACAAAAGCTTTCTTAGATATTGCTATACTGCATTCAGTCAATCAGACTGAATCCATCTTTACATCATAATTTCACTATTATACATTGTGACAGGTTCCCCCGCCTGGGGTGCCACTTGATGTACTGGGGTACCACTGAGCCTGCTTGTTCCACCAGCCTGGGTTCCCTCACCCTGTCCTGCTGAGCCAGGCCCTCAAGCCTCCTCCAGCACACACACAGGTAGGGCGACACCCAGCTGCAGAAAGACACGGACACTGAGATCACCTGTGAGTGGGAAAACTCAGCCTGGGAATTGTCCAGCACTCACGTGCACACCCCCTGTGTAATACACAAGTGTAAATCCAAAAGTGTATTGTCCTGCACAGAAAACTGTACAGGTTAAGCTCATGAAATTCGCTCCTTTCCTCAATGTGGCGGAAGATATGCACAGCTTTCTGCCCCTCAGTTATGAATTGCACAAACTGGTTTATAGAAAACAAACACAAGCTTATTAACTACATAGGATAGATTTTAAGTGACTATAAGGGATAGCAAACAGATCAAAGCATATTATTGAGCAAACACGCAAACTAAGCGTAATACACTAAAGAAACTGGCAACAAGTAGTAATTTCTCACCCTAAATGTTGTTTTAAGCAGGTTGCAGAGTTTCTTGTAGACAAACCCTTCTTACTTGCAGCTTAGAATCCAGATATTCCTTTCACAGGCCAGACACCTTCTTGCCTGGGTCCAGTGCTTTCTTCCCCAGATGAGTCTTAGGTGTTTTCAGCAGTCATCTTGGGCTGGGATTCAGTGAAGGAACCGACCTAGATTAACTCACTATCCTGCCTTAAATAGGATTTACATATGGCAGGAATCCTTTGTTTCCCAGTTTGATCCCCACTCCCTATTAGTGGAAAAATACTAGCAGGCCAAGATGGGGTCCAGTACCAGGTGACATGATCATATGACCCTGCAGTGTCAAAGCAGCATCCCAGGAAGTGTCTCAGGAAGGAGAGAGATTAGCATCTTCAAAGTCCTATTGTTCTCCTTAATGGCCCCTTGACTGACCAGCCAGCCTGATTGCATTTGGTCTGGTGGGCATTCCACAGGTGCAAACACTTTTGCAATTGATACATAGTCCATATTGCTAACTTTAGATACAAAAATGATACAAGCACACAAATAGGAAAATCATATTCAGTAAATCATAACCTTTCCAATGATACCTCACATGACCCATCTTGCATAAAATACAACTTAGTCATGATATATTCATATCACAACAATATCTCTATGAAGAACATGGGGCATAGTGTCACACACATATTAAAGCACTGATTGTCAGATACTCTAATTGTTTTCAATTGTGTGTTTTCTCTCTCTGCTAGCCTATCACTTCTTAAAGATAAGAAAACAAAACCATTACAACATCCAGGTGGATTGTCCAAGCATCAAGAAACAATAATATATTGTACTGGAAATTGGAGAGCTGGGACAGCAGAAGGCTTGTCTAAACTGGCAAGTTTTGTCGCCAAAAAGTGCCTTTTGGTGACAAAACAGCAAGAGCATACACACTACTATGGGACTTCTGTCACGAAAAACGCCCAGTTCTGGCGACAGAAAAACTTGTCTTTCCCCTCCCTTTATTGTCAACAAAGAGCCAGTGTAGACACTGCTGATTGTTTTGTCGACAGAACTGGCTTCCGCCAGTATCCCACAATGTCTGCCCTGGTTGCTCTGCTCAGTGTTTTGATCTCTGCTGCCCTATAGGCATACGCCCCTCCCCTTTCAAAGCTCAGAGAAGTATCTGTGTGCTGCTCCGTTTGGGGAGCAAACAAAGAGCAAATCATTGGAATGCTCCTGTTCTGCCCTGCGCTAGGAACACAGCAGCAGGCAGACTGCTGTGCTGCTTTGCCATGCTTCAGCACGGAGAGCTCACAGAGCTACTCATGATGCTGCTCTTGGCAGTTGAGGGGGCTGTGGGAGAACTTGAAGAGAATCCCAAGATGCGCACCGATCAGCTCTTCCTTCCCACAACACTGCATTGTGGGATACATACCCACGGTGCATTGCTCACCCTGTCGATGATGGTGTCCCCAATGTGGACATGATCTGTCGACAGAGGGAGCAAGCGTGAACACCCTTTCGTGATATTTGTTTTGTCAACTTTTGGGTATCGACATACGTTTTGTCAACAAAACTTGGTAGGATAGACAAGCCCAGCGGTTCTCAGACTCAACTGTAGATCACTGGTGGCCTGCAAAGCACTAGCTGGAAGGCTACAGAAGCAGGCTGGTAAAACGATACTGCCTCCTCATTTCTAGCTCATAATTTGCATTAATACCCTTCTAAAAATACATTAAATGCTTTTTTTTATTACTTTTCCACATAAGCAACTGCTATAGCTGTAATACGGATGTTAAAGGTAGGGCTGCATGTAGATGCAGTTTGGCTGAAGAATTTTCCATAGAATTGATCCTTACCACAGAACTGTGTTCCATAATCTAAACTTTCAGTTTAAAAATTGTTTCTATCCCTCATGGTTGTAAAGAAAACCTCTAAATCAGTGGTTCTCAACCAGAGGTACGGGTACCTCTGGGAGTACGTAGAGGTCTTCCACGGGTACATCAACTCATCTAGGTATCTGCCAAGTTTTACAAGTAGTTACATAAAAAATAATAGCGAAGTCAGTAGAAACTAAAATTTCATGCAGATAATGATTTGTTTATACTGCTCTATATACTATACACTGAAATGTAAGTACAATATTTATATTCCAATCAATTTATTTTATAATTATATGGTAAAAATGAGAAAGTAAGCAATTTTTCAGTAATAGTGTGCTGTGACATTTGTATATTTAGATTTTGTATGCAAGTCGTTTTTAAGTGAGGTGAAATTTGGGGTACGCAAGACAAATCAGACTCCTGAAAGGGGTATAGTAGTCTGGAAAGGTTGAGAACTACTGCTCTAAATCACAAGCTAACTGCAAGCCAAGTCAGTATTATCTTCCAGATCTTCCTGAGTCTGCAGACAAACTGTTACAATTGGTCTAAGAGATGTGAACTGCCACATTCACTTCCGTGAGGTGAACTCTGAAACCTCTGCTGACATTGCAAGTATTAACATTATCCATTTCACAGCTGATCCCTTTAACAGAAACACCTAGATAGGGCCCGATTCTCATTTACACAAAGATCTGGGTAAAGCAGCCTTTGTGTAAATAAGGATCAGGCTAGGTCTAACACTAAAAAGTTAAG